GGGAATAAACAAAATATACAAGAAAAATGAGTTGAAGGAGTTTTTAAAGGAGAAAAAAGTAAACTTAATAGCTATCTCAGAGCATAGAGTTAATAGCAATAAGGTTGCCAAGATAGTAAATAAAATAGCTTATGGCTGGGAATGGTGTACCAACGGATCTAATACAACTAGAGATCGTATATGGATAATACGGGACACTACTGAAGTCAGATTTACAGTCATGGAGATCCATGATCAGCTCATTCATGGGATAATGCAGCCTAGACATACTAATATAATCATTCACATTTTAGTAGTGTATGAGTTGCATAATGTCCCGGCTAGGAGGGAACTATGGAGGAAACTGAATGAAATAGAGTAGCTAATGATCCAACCTTGGTTGATAATGGGGAACTTTAATTCAGTTATATATGTGGAGGACAGATCACAAGGAAATGAGGTACAAGAATATGAAACCAGGGATTTTAGAAGGTTCACAGAAGAGTGTGGGGTTGCGGAACTTCAAACTACTCGAAGAACATTTACATGGACCAATAGCCATGTTTATAGTAAGATGGACAGAGCATTAGTGAATGCATAGTGGATGAATACCATGCCTCCCCTGCAAGTTCATATCAACGATCCATGCCTCGTCTGTTTTAGATTTCTGAATTGTCTAGCAAACCATCCTAAGTTTGCAGACATAGTTAAAAGCAGCTGGTCAAGTCAAAGGTCTATACAAGGCATGACGGGCATATGGTTAAAGCGAAGATTGTTAAATGAGGCCTGAATAGATTATAGAGTAAGGAGTTTATAGGAGTGTAGAGCAAAATTCAGAATATTAGGGACAAGCTGAACAAATTGCAAGCACAAATGAGGGATATTGTCCACTCTACGGGAAAGTATGAGGAAGAGAAGGAACTAAAGAAGCAACTTGAAAAGTGTAGTATAATAGAAGAAAGCATTTATAGGCAAAAGTCAAAGGTCCAATGGCTCAAGATGGTTGATTCCAATACAGCATATTTCTATGCTAACATAAAGGGGAGAAGAGCACAAAATTACATGAAGCAACTTAAATCCACAATAGGAAGGTTATTGCCAAAGCCAGAGGAGATCAAATAAGAGATAATTGGCTTATACAAAGGCCTATTAGGCTCAAGCCAAAATTGCTTACCTGCCATCAACCCAAACATAACGAAGGAAGGACCAAAACTGAACAGAGCTCAACAACTTCAATTAATAATTCCATTCATAAAAGAAGAAGTATATCAAGCACCAGAAGGGATAGACACATGAAAGCCCTGGAATGTGATGGTTTTAACTTAACGTTCTTTCAGAAAACATGGCACATACTAGGAGAGGAGGTAACAATTAGGTACTTTGAAACAGCTGATATGTATAGACCTATAAGTTGCACTTCAGTCACATTGATACCTAAGGTAAAGAATCCTGTCACTATCAAAGAATATTGACCAATCTCTTGTTGCACAATATTGTACAAAATCATCTCCAAAATGATTACCAACAGACTACAACAGGTCATGGATTCCCTAGTGGATTGCACCCAAAATGCTTTTGTTCCTGGAAGGGTGATACATGATAATATGGTTCTAAGCCATGAAATTATTAAAGGATACGAGAGAAAATGAGTGTCACCAAGGATTGTGATCAAAGTGAATATGCAAAAAGCTTATGACTCATTGAAATGGGTTTTTTTGGAGTAGACTTGTCAAGTATGAATTTTTCATAAAGGTTCATCACATGGATTAACAGCTGCATCAGAATAGTTTCCTATTCAATTGTTATAAATGGAAATCCAAGACCACCATTTGAGGCAAAAAAGGGGCTCAAGCGAGGTGATCCATTATTCCCATACTTATTTGTACTTGCCATGGAATATCTTACTAGATTGCTTAGTACACTAAAGGGGAATCCAAACTTCAATTATCCCCTAGATGTGAAAAGCTGGGTATAATACAACTAGGTTTTGCTGATGACCTCCCCGTGTTATGCAAGGGTGATGTGGTATCAGCCAAGCTACTATTTGATCAATTTTCCAAGGCATCAGAACTAATAGCTAACATAAACAAAAGTAGTATATACTTTAGAGGAGTGCATAACCATGTGCAGCATGAGATAGTACAACAACTTGGATTCTCTGTTGCTACCTTGTCTTTCAAGTACCTTGGAGTGCCACTAAGCTCCAAAAGGCTGGCTGTAGCACAGTGCCCAACCATTGATTGATAAAATGCTCGGAAGGATAACCAATTGGACTGTAAAGAGTTTCCATCATATGCAGTGAGGTTGCAACTGATTAAAAGTGTGCTGATAGCAATTCAATCTTACTGGTCTCAAATTTTCCTGCTGCCTAAGAAGGTCATCAGCAAAGTTGAAGCAGTATGCGGATCCTTCCTCTGGACAGGAAATACAGAAGCTAAGAAAAAGGCCTTTTGGTGGCATGGAATCAATTGTGTTTACCTAAGACAGCTGGGGGCCTAAATATCATTGATGTGCAAGTATGGAATATAGCTGCAATCCTGAAACATTACTGAACTTGTCTAAAAAAAAGGACAAGTTATGGATTAAGTGGGGCACAATTATTATGTAAAAATCAGGGATATAAGCGATGTGGATGCCAAGAATGCCTCGTGGAATATTTGAAAGATCATTAATGTGAAGAAATATCTGGAGAAGGCAACCTTGAAGACTGAAGATGTTGTGGTAGATGGGGAGTACTTTATAAGGAGAATGTATAACATGCATAGGGGGGACTTCCCTTAAGTGAGCTGGAAGAAGTTGATCCGTAACACCTAAGCAAGCCCAAAATGGATATTCATATTGTTCTCAGCGATACAAGAGAGGCGATACACCAAAGATAGGATAATAAAATGGGGTATGTGGAATGATACTATTTGTGCAATGTGTGAAGTTGAACAAGAGAGTCACCAACATTTGGTTTTCAACTGTTACATATCCGCGAAGGCGTGGATGCATATTCTGAAGTGGCTCGGCATCAGAAGAAGTCCTATGAGGTGGAGGGAGGAGATTAGTTGGGCTGGAATGCAAGCTAATGGAAAGAACTCGCTGGCAGAAATCTATAGAATGAGCTTGGCTTGTACTACATATCACATATGGCAAGAGAGAAACTACAGAATATTCCAACAAAAAAAGAGGACACCTCAAGACATAGCAAGATCAATTGTGCAAGTCCATTGTCGAGGTAGCATGAAGTCAAAGTTGGGGAAGTATATGAAGAAATTAAATTTCTATCCGAGTCTGTAATACTTGAGAAGTAGATTGGAGATGAAGTAGTTATAGCTAGTCGAAGTCTGTTTATACTAGAGTTGGGAATTATGTCAACTCTAAGTTTTTTTTGCTTTACTTGTAAATATTTTTTCCCTAGTAATAAAATATAATAATTACCAAAAAAAAAAAGGAAGAAGAAGAAAGAGTCCAAAACGCATTTACAACTCTGTTAGCTCAAAGAAATTAACTAACACATGTTCTTACTAAATGTCCAAGAGGTAGTGAAGTATACTATGTAATAAATTGGAAGTTACAATAATTAGTCCACTTTTACATATTTTAGGGATAATATAATTGAAAAATAGTTTGAATATATCATCATTTTCATATAAAAGAGACTAAAGTATACATTTAAAAAATTAGATGAAAATATCACATAGTCGTTACATACAAATCACTAATCATGTAACAAGAGTTTCCGCGACGTATTTGCTTGCTTAAGCTCTTGTTCAAAACTTCAAGGGAGACAGGTCAGACTTTGGCATGGGAAAAATAAAATAAATTTTACACCAATGATAGGCTGCCACATAAGAATTGGTCAATTATGAATAATTTTCACCTATAAAGAAAAAGGTATTGGGTCGGGCAAATCAAAATCATAAAACCCTAACAAAAACCCTAGCTCTCCTTAACCCTCAACCTCAGCAGACACCGCTACCGTAGCAACCAAAATTGAACCAAAATCTCAAAGCCAATGAAGACAATATCGGGTAAATTAACATCCACAACCCCAATCTCTCTTTCTCAAGCAGCAAAATCGCTCTCCAAATTTGCTGCATCAGAAAACGGAGCTTCACATTCTGTCTCCATATATATCCAACGTGCCGCCGATTCGTTCAACCAACTTGTTCAGCTTCATGAGAAACTCAGACCAAATAGTGCAAAAAATGAGCTTTCTATCAAAGTTGAGGAAATTTCCGAAAGAAGGAAGAAAATTGGGGAAGTTGGTATAAAGGCTGAAGATGTAGTTAAGAATGATGATTTCCCAAATGGGTCACAAAAAAGCAGAAAAAGCAACAGTCTTGATAAGAAAAGCAAGAAGCTTGACAAGGATCCGAAATTGATCAAGACCGAGCACCGGCTCGATATAAGTGAAGGAGAGACGGCAAAATCCAAGAAAAATGAGCTGGAGTTTGTTAAAATGGATAGCTATGTGAAGAGGGAATCGGAGTTGGAGGAAGTTAAGGAAGATGGTATGATAAGTAGGGACAAAAAAAAGAAGAAAAAGAAAAATAAGGTTGTTGGTGACAATGAGGGTGAGGTGGTGGGGAAAGTGGAAGAAGATTCGAGGGTTAAGGAGGAGGAGGAAAGGAAGAGGAAGAGCGTGGATCACAGTGAGGGTGAAAATGCTGGCTCAGCAGAACAGAGTAATAAGAAAAAGAGTAAAAAGAGGAGAATTGAAGGTGAAAAGTGAATGAGTTAGCTGAATTGTATTAGATTTTGTTGCTGCTGTTGTTGCTAGTATTGGTGAGGATCAGAGTAATGCTTTTTTATGTAGGAAAATTGTCCCTTGTGGATATCATTGCCAAAGCTGTATTGATATAACATTTTGAGTTATATTTAATGAGATACGATTCAATTTCAAATGATTATGGATCTAACAAAGTTTATTTGACATATCAGAATTTATGTGCTAATTTTCATATCCTGAAAAAAAAAATTGTTCGCTTGGTACTTTATAGTTGTACATAAGCAAAGTCATTCTCAAAAAAAAAAAAAAAAAAAAAAAAAAAAAAAAAAAAAAAAAAAGAAAAGAAAAAAAGACAATGCTGGTTTAGAAGAGCAGAGTAATAAGAACAAGAGTAAAAAGAGGAGAATTAAAGGTGAAAAGTAATTGAATTAGTTCAACTGTATGAAGATTATTTCTTGTATTGCTACTAATTGTGAGGAACAGACTATTTTTTTTTATATATGTAATACCTGCAGAAAATTGTCCCTTGTGGATATTATTGCTAAAGCTGTATTGATATACCTGTTCGAGTAATTCTTTATGAGTTATGATTCAATTTGAAGTATATGGATCTAACAATGTTTGATTGACTAGTTAGCTTTCTGATTTTTTTTGGATAGTGAGAGTGTGTTTGTGCGAAACAACTGTGTTTGTGTTACTTGATAAAAAGCACCACAAGCACTTATCAAAAAATTTAGACACCACAGTCATAACATTTGAAAGTGAGAAGCATGATAACTGGATGTCAGGGCAACTATGAATGCTGATCTGCTATTAATTTTTGCACAAAAAAGAGTAATAAAAAAAAAAATCTCCTTTCATTTCTGCTGTCCTCCTCTACTACTCTCTGGAAGCTAATAGTGCGAGTGTAAGGACACCTACATCCCTCCATTCTTCTTTCACCTTTGAAATTTGAACTAATTATGGTTTTCGTTTACTTTGCTAGAAGGGAAGTGGACTGTTATTTCCTTACATTTTGCATCCCATTTTGATTCTCATATTTCTATGTACTTATCCTATAACTGCTCTTTCATGGAATGCACTAAACAAACTATATTCAATACTTTCATGTGAAGAGTAAGCTTTAGCACATTTGGAAATTGTAAATCTGAAATAGTTTGCTTCAGGATTTTGATGTTAAGACCACAATAAAGGACTACCTCAAACACGTTTTGTTTTCTATAGAAGCCTTCAAAATAAACAATAACATTCTTTGCATTCCAATTTTTCTATTTTTGTCATGGCTTACTAAAGATTATATTGAATAATTGCAAGATATTCAAATTGCACTTGCTAAGAGGTCCTGTGACAGCTTTTCGTATAGGAAACAGTCCTGCATAGAGTCATCTGCCGACCAAATAAAGATACCATGAAGTTTTCCCCGACTCCTCAGTATGCTGCATGCATCATAGAATCCATGTTTAGGAGACAAGCCACCACTGTTGTCTGTTCCAAAGCTCACTAGAATCTTGCCTCCTTTATAGTTATACCTCTGGGTTTCAAAGTACTGCAGGAATTGAGTAATGGTTGTGCCCTTTTCATAGGCATAAAATTGGAAGTTGACATAGTCTATTAGATGACCATACTTTCTCCAGAGAGCTAAATAGTGCACCTGCACTGAATCATCTGCATATGGTGCTATAGATGTGTAAGAGACGACATTGTTTTGTTTAAGATAGTACAACAGTCGCCCGATGCACTCAGCGAATGTATCTGGATCTGCATTGAAGTGTTCATAATCTATATCTATTGCATCCAGGTTATATTGTTTCACTATCTTGGTGATTGAATATATTGCATTTCTCACCCAAGAAGTAATTGAAGTAGGAGCAAAGGTTGCATTTTTACCATTCACTGTATCACCACCGAGACTCAATCCTACCTTAACATTTTTGTACTGGGCCTTGATGGAAGAAATCTGGGAAGGGGTTAGATTATCAGTGTCCCAATAGACCAGGAAGTCACCATTAGTGGGTTCTGGTGATGTTGTGTTTGTGTAGTCTATAGCAAAGGAGAGGAGGAAGTGAAACTCAATATTTGGATTAATTGGGACATCAGAGAATGTGACATTCTTGCCCTCAGCTCCAATGTATTCTCTGAAAACCCCAGGGCAGCTTGCTGGAGTTGCTCCGGTTGCAGGGGAAATATTGAAGAGAGCTTGAAGGACAAGAATAGAAATGCAGAATTTGAAGGGGTTCATGTTTTCTTTGAGTTTGAAGAATTCCTTGTACTCCTTGTTGCTATTAACCAAAGCAAATGCCGATTAAAATATTTCTCCCTCTACAAGGCATTTGTTGTATGCCTCTCCAACTGTCATATAAGATTTAGTTTCTATTTGTATTTTTGTGGGTAATCTCTCGTTTGCAGACTTGGTTTTGTAAGCATCTATACACTTATAGATTATGTTTCAGCTAGAAGCCAAGCATTATCTTTCTTGGCATTTCCACAGACGGCTTAATTAAATATTCTAGGTGAGTAAAACTCTCTCTCATTAGCTCAAGGTTGACAAGGCATGAATCTCATGTTCGTTTTTCTATCAGCAGGCCATTTTGCTATACTGATTGTGCTAGGTATGGGGTGATGTCTTAAAAATGTTAAAATTTAAAGTAATCCTAATCAAGTTTTTTAGAATATAAGCTGAGTCGTATATGCATCCACCATTTTGGTGTAGTGTGCATTTACAGATGGCATCTTTCTTTCAGGCAAAAGAGAATCTGTTAATTTTTGATGTATTTATTTGGTCTCAAGCAGGCCTTTGACATTTCTAACAATCTAAAACATAGTAATAAGTTTACACTTCTAGCAGTCAAAACTACTTGTAACGATTTTGGCGTCTTCAAATTCTGTTGGACTTAATCAGCAGCATTCGCTTTCTAGAGCACAAGTGCAAACTTGAGTCATGTTGCGTCTGTCTCCTTCAAATTGTGCTCCAAATTTTTCAGAAAAAGAACTTCATTTGTAGCTGTTTCATAGCCATCTATTTCTATGTTAACAGAAATGCAAAGATGATAGAATTACCATGGCGTTTTCCCAGGAACCTGGATTTCAGAAAGGTGAAATGCATATTCAATGTAACTTGCTTACCTACTTTGCTAGGGGATACCTCAAAACCATCGTTGCTCTCTCATAAGAATCAGCCGAGATGATATCGAGTATTGGTTTGTTGACTCAAGTTGATTGTACCATTCCTCAATCTGATCGAATTTGGACAGTTGGCATGACAACTTATGGGGTATTGAGTTGTCTTTTTCCTGTTTCTTGTTTTTAAAGAGTAGGCTGGAAGAAGTTATTGCACTGTTCAAAGGCTCATGCATGGACTCTAAGTGGTGGTTTTTCACTTGTATAACACAGTAGCACAATTTCTTCCTATTTCTCACATGATATGTCTTTTAAAGTTAAACCCAGTCGGTCCATTTGCCTAGGTTAGTAAAACAACTTCATATTCAGTTTCTTCATAACTGGAAAATGTTTCCTCTAATCTGCTTTATTTGGTGAGAGCAACATTTTAGCTAATATATGCACGAAGTTTTTGCTTGTCTGAGTTTCTGGGTTAACATAGTCTGACTGCCTTCTTTGAGCTAAAGGAAGAGTTTACTTTGGATGAATATTGGCTCCAAATGCATTGACAGTGATGAGGCAGATGAAGAGAAGTGCAAAGGGCTTGGGCAACATATAGGACGTATGCTGGTAGAACTGGAAGCTAGTCAATAAAGTTGTATGTTTTACTTTACTCAAGATACTGAAGGGATTGCTTGCTTTTGAAAATGGAAATTTCTCAATTGCATATTTTCTAGGTGTCTAATTTAAAGCATTCGGGAAACCAGGTAACTATTAGTCTTTACCTTTATATCCACGCATGCTACTGCATTTGAAACATATTTGTACACAAGTAGAGGCACTACAATTACAATAGGTCATAAATGAATAGACCTGAATAATGCTGATAGTCAGTCTAATTGACAGCTTATGCAATTTGGTGAAATGCTTGGTCTTAATCCGTTTACAAACTATAGTAAAGAAAAATGTTTTCCTGCGAAGATTAAGTTTTAACTGTAAGTTTGAACTTATTTGCATCAATATCTTGATTGTAAGACCGCAGTAAGAGTGCTACCTCAAACATGTTTTATTCCCTAGAGAATCCTCCAAGATAAAACATAACATTCTTCTGCTTTAATTCTATCTTTTGTCATGGCCTACAAAAGATTATCTTAAATGGTTGCAAGATATTCAAATTGAACTTGCTAAGAGGTCCTGTGACAGCTTTTCATATATAAAATGATCCTTTTTAGAGTCATCTGCAGACCAAATAAAGATACCATGAAGTTTTCCTTGACTCCTTAGTATGCTGCATGCATCATAGAATCCATGTCTAGGAGACAAGCCACCAATATTGTTAGTTCCAAAGCTTACTAGAATCTTGCCTCCTTTATAGTTACAGCTCTGGGTTTCAAAGTACTGCAGGAACTGAGTAATGGTTGTGCCCTTTTTATAGGCATAAAATTGGAAGTTGACATAGTCTATTAGATGACTGTACTTTGTCCAGAGTGCTAAATAGTGCTCTTGCACTGTATCATCTGCATATGGTGCTATTGATGTGTAAGAGACTACATTGTTTTGTTTAAGATAGTACAACAATCGCCCGATGCACTCGGCGAATGTATCTGGATCTGCATTGAAATGCTCATAATCTATATCTATTGCATCCAGGTTATACTCTTTCACTATCTTTGTGACTGAATATATTGCATTTCTTACCCAAGAAGTAATTGAAGTAGGAGCAAAGGTGGCATTTTTACCATGCACTGTGTCACCACCGAGACTCAAACCTACCTTAACGTTTTTATGCTGGGCTTTGATGGAAGAAACCTTTGAAGGGGTTAGATTATCAGTGTCCCAATAAACCAGGAAGTTACCATTAGTGGCTTCTGGTGATTCTGTGTTTGTGTAGTCTATGGCAAAGGAGAGGAGAAAGTGAAATTCAACATTTGGATTAATTGGGACATCAGAGAATGTGACATTCTTGTATAGAGCTCCAATGTATTCTCTGAAAACCCCAGGGCAGCTTGCTGGAACTGCTTCAGTTGTAGCGGAAATAGTCAAGAGAGATTGAAGGACAAGAATAGTGATGCAGAATTTGAAGGGCTTCATACTTTCTTGGAGTTTGAAGGATTCCTTGTACTTCTTATTGGTATTTAACCAGAGTAAATGCCGATTAAAATACTTCTCCTTTGACAAGGCATTTGTTAAATTCTTCTTCAGACCATCATTTAAGGCTTAATTTCTGTTTGTTCTTTTGTGAGTAACATTTCTTTTGCAGACCTGGTGTGGTAGTTGGTGAACATCAGTACATAGAAAAGATTATGTCTCAGCTGGAAGCCTGGCATTGTTCTTCTTGGCATCTTCTACGGACGGCTCAATATATATATTCTTAGGTAAGTGAAACTCCCTTTCATAGCTTAAGGTTAGGTATTGGACTATTGGTAGATGTCTTAAAAATGTTCAAAATATAATATTCTAACCAAGTTGTTCTAGAGTATAAGTTGAGTAATATGTGCATCTGCCATTTTTGTGTAGAGTTCATTTTTTGTTGACATCTTTCTTTCATGCTAAAGAAAACCTGATTGTTTGAAATAAGAAATCTTTGTATCAAGTAGACTTTTAACTTTTGCAACACTCTAAGATGATATTAAGGCAGAGGGGATCTAGGATTTGAACTTAATGGATTTGAATTTTGCGTTCTACCATAATCATTTGGTTTGCTGGTTCCGAAATCTATAATTTGTACTTATTTTGTATATTTTTTTAACACATACAAGGCCTGAGCCAAAGTTAATGGTTCAGACCTTATGAATCAAGTTTAACATTTCTGAAAAAGATTGAAATAATATACATAGAGATAATGTGGAAATTACGCATAAGCTGGTTCGGACACCACTGTCATAAAGAAATAATAATGTGGAAATTACAAGAGAGATACGATGGCGATGCCGAGAATGTAAGAAGCTGGAAAAGCACAGTGTCGCTACTTGCTACAATCAGAGGCGGACCTAGATTTGGAGGTGACCGGGGCACTACTATTCATAGTCATGACTCATGCGAATTATTAGCTACTAAGTTTGATGTGCAACTCTTGAAATTTGGATGATTATGATAAATTCTAAGCTTCGATTTTTAGCCTAGAGAGAAGTTTGGTTTTTTTTGAAGAGGGGTTTAATCAAACGAAAAGGGGGCTTGGGGGAAACTATAAAAAATAAAAGGACCAAAATTAAATAAAAAAGTAAAAATAAAACAACAACAACAACAACAACAACCAAGTAGAATCCCACTAATGGGGTCTGGGGAGGGTAATGTGTACGCAGACCTTACCCCTACCCCGAAGGAGTAGAGAGGCTGTTTGCGAAAGACCCTCGGCTCAAGAAAACAAAAAGACAAAAGGAGATAATATTAGTATCACCACATAAATCATAGGAAAAATAGGAACAACATGAAATCCAGAAGAAAGATGCAAAGCAAAAGCGATAGCTAGTAAATAGGTCCTGCACTGAAAAGTGAAATAGTAAGACACAACATTGTCACTAGCTATCTTAGACAAAAAAATAAAAGTAAAAATAAAATAAAAATTGGGCTTGTAAATCGTTCAAGTAAAAAGCAAAACATATTTGGGAATCGAACTCAAGTCTCGACTTACCAACCTCTAGCCATTGGTTATAGACTTACCAAAATTAGTCAAGCACATATAAAAATTGAAAAACCAAATAAATAAGGTTCTTTCTCTCAAATAATCACATGCAAAAATCTCCTTCTATATTTTTAAGCGTGATTAGCAACATTAGATGCAAGACGGAAAAGATATTTCATGGATGAGGTAGCAAATAAAGTGATGAAATACAAAAAAATAAATATACAATATTCCAAAAATCTAAGCAAAAAAGGAACTTTTTCAATGGGTATAGTTGAAATTCATTGAAAACATATAGATAACTCAATATACAAAATTTGAGGAAGATTGGAGGTGATTTGGACTGGGTTTGTATCAAAATCGTAATTAAATCGAGTTCAAAAAATTCTTTTGTGACACATGTATCAAACATGTATCACGCATGTATCTCACACACGGCTATACATGGATATATATGTGATACACAATTGATTCAAATATGATACATATGTAATACACAAATGATACACAGTGTGATACACATATCATTTTTTTTCATGTTCAGTTTTTACTTTGAATTTTCAATTCAAACCACCTCAAAACTTTACCAAATCATCCCAAAACTGATATTCAAGCTTCTTAAAATGTACCCAATCTATTCTAATAACACCCACTCAAAAGAAAGCAAAAACTTGAGCTTTTTTTTTGTTACAAATAGCTAATTGGCTAATATTAGTAATATTTTATGAATTGACCAATTTTTGTAATGAGCTACTTATAAATGGACATAACTGGTAGTTTCCCTAAAATATATGTTCGTTTGTCACGGCAACTAGCCTATATATACATATAGTTATAGGAGTTTTTGCCGAGCTTAACGGGTGCCGATGACCCGTCTACCTTCCACCTAGGTCCGCCCCTGGCTACAATTAATTCATTATTTGGCTCGTCTTAATATATTTCTTTCCGATAGTTGGTGAAGAAAACTCCAAAGCATCTGCATTCGTTAATTTGGTTTTAAACTAACTTGAATTGATATTTGGAATATGGAATACCTTGAGAACCTACGGAATGCAATCTAACCTATAATTAGGGTATTATGCTTTTAGCTCGCGTTAGAAACTATTTATATAGGGTAGTCGAAAAAGTGTATAAATTTTTTTGTATATAACATACAAAATGTGTGTGTGTGTATATATATATATATATATATTTTATACATTTTTTCGGCTATTATTTTTACAGCGATTATACAGTGTCATTTTCTCCCTATAATATATTAATATAATAAGTAGTTACACAAGAGTAATGTCAAATCAATATTACTGCTTTTTTGCCTCCCTCTTGCCAAGTGTGGGCAACTGATCTGAGACAAAAAGAAGTTTTAGGCATATAAACGATCTTGTGACTTTTTCTTAAAAGATTCTAAGCAAAAAGGATTTAATGGTGTTCGTTGTTACATTTTCTGAATAAGGATTCATTTCTTTTAGGCATAGAAATGCTATCTTCAAGTGACAAAACTACAAAAAGGAAAAAGAAAAATGAGTTTTTACTTTTCTAATAAGCTTTTTCACGAGGCCATCTATTTAGAGGTTTCATTATAATAAAACCGTCTTTATTTTGGCAATCAACATACTGTAACTTCCTTTTTATTCCAAGGTTGAGATCAGTTAAACTTTGCACATAAACGAAGTTTCAGCGGAACAAAAATAAAATTAAAAAAGAAAAAAAGTTCTGTCATCATGTAGTAATTCTTGATCAACTAGTCCTTAGAGATTTCGGGTAATTTAAGGATCATTAACCGGAAAAAAGACTTATTTGGACCGTGTATGCACCAAACCATATTAATTTATTAATCGTGGTAAGAATACATATTAATTAACCAGATATGTGAGAGTGAGACATCATAACCCATTCCCCACTTGGAATTTAGCTTGCCAGATAGAGTTTGTCTGAGAGTCGGCTCGTTTGGTATGAGGGATAAGGGATAAGAGATAATTAATTTCAGGATTAAATTTGAGATGAGTTTATCCCATATTTGGTTGTGATAAAATCGTGGTATAACTAATTCCGGGATTAGTTATTATGGGATTGTAGTGTTTTTTTATTTTGGTGGAATAACTAATCCCAAGATAACTAACCCCGAGATAATTAATCGTGATAACTTGTTTCCAACCAAACGACCCTAAAGAGATATGCTTAAGACTCTCTGTTCACCCAAGCTTCTTATTAATAATTCTTTTCCGTCTTTTTTTCTTTGTTTAAATTTTTTTATCCCTTTATAACAATCTTTATCCGATTTAATCAAAAGGCATATCTTTGTGATGAAAGTGAAAGTATTGAATTAAAGGATCTCTAAAGCTGGTTCAAGATTTAATTAGTCGACAGAATCTATGCTTTATCTTAGAAAGCAAATGAAACAAGAAGATTATTAAAAGATGGTTATTATCTTCAAGTAATCAAAACATTCAGGAATATTTCCCTTTTTTCCATATGAAGCAAAGAATGAGTATCAAACATATAGTACTTATATAACAAATGTGTATGGGTTGTGTATGTTTAAGTGCTTCATTTTATTTTCTGTCAAAACTCAGAGATTAGGGATGATGTTAAGGAAGTTTGGAACATCAATTTTCGTCCTCTGTTTTATCTTTCTTGCTTTGGGGAAAGAGGTTTCAATCAAGGCGAAAAGTGAGAGCCTTTCAACAAAGAAGAAGGTAGGAGAATTTATTAGTACTTTCACAATTTGAAGATTGATATAAATTTGTTTGTCGATTAACTTTTATAAACTGGACAACCCGGTACACAAAGCATTTCGTATTCACATAGGGTCCGAAGAACGACTGCACCTCAAGGAGTGTGATATAGATAGCCTACAGTATTAGAGTTCAACTTTTGCGCTGTTTTATGCTATTGGTAATTAAGTTACCATTGTTCTAGGTCCTTCACTTTCATTATATCGACGTGGATTCAGGGGCATACGAACGTTGCTTGCATTGGTGTCATGTAACACTGCTTCGCCGATTTTTTTCCTCATAGTCTGCATGTATAAATAATAAATAAAATTAAAATATTGGGTATAAATATAAAAATGACACTGCTTGTCATTACAATAATTTATTAATTTGTTCACTTTTTCAAATATTGACACTGCTTGTGAAAATTCCTGCGTACGCCACTGTATGAATTGCACACGAAATAACAATCGAACTTTTTAAGACATATGTAATTCGTGGTCTAATAATTAGACAACAACTTTGCTTCGAACATAGGAGTAACAAATTTGTAGCAAGCATGATTTGGTACCATAAAAGATATACATATTAAATAACATATTATAACATGTTTAATTATACTTGAAATGCAAAAATAATTCTTCGTACTGTTAGTGTATATAACTTAAACCCCACAAAAAATAAAAAATCCTGTACATCATCACTTTTCACTTTACTGAATCCGTAACATATTAAAGGGCAGCCTGGTACACTAAGCTCCCGCTATGTGCGGCGTCTGGGGAGGGTCAAACTACAATGGTCTATTGTACACAGCCTTATCCTGCATTTCTACAAGAGGCTGTTTCCACGGCTCGAACCCGTGGCCTCCTGGTCATATGCCATCAACTTTACTAGTTACGATTCTGAATCCCTAACATAGTATTGTTGCAAATTACTAAGTTGGTTTTGACTGAAATATATTGTTGTCCTGATAATTGCAGGAGAAATGTACCTATTTTGTGACAATAGAGACAACATGTACAAAGGGTGCAGAAACCTCAAACCATGTAAGCCTAAGGTTTGGTGATGAAAAATCCACTGACATTTTAGTTCACCATTTGAATTCCGAGCATTTGAAAAGGCTTGATCCATTAGAACCACAAGTTCTTGATGATATTCCCAGAAAACCATTTCAAGCTTGCATTACAGATCAGTTTCAAGTCACTGCTCAATGTGTCGAATCGCCGATTTGCTATCTCTATCTTAAATTGGCTGGAAATGATGACTGGCGTCCTGGTTTTGCTCAAGTTCAAGTAGTAGAAGGGCCTCATTTTAGCTCAAATACATTCTATTTTCGACGATATTTGCCTCGTCGAGTATGGCACGGATTGAACTTGTGTGAAACAGAGGTCACACCTTTTGGAGTAAAGCTTAAGAGAAAAGTATTTGGAAAAAGAGTTCCATAAGCCTTTCTGTCATGTGCAGCAGCGACTTAATTAGCGTACGCAAGATCACTAAACTTGTATGTTCCGGTTTAGGGCGGTACATGTTCTAAGATTTTACTTTCTTCCCAAATTGATGTTTATTTTTTGTTATTTTTCAAGCGAAAATAATTTATGTATGTCTTTGCGCGAGCAAAAAAGTGTGAGATAACGCTCCTCGTAAAGTAAAAGGGTGTCTCTGCCATTAGTCCTTGGGACATTAATATGCAAGTGAAACACAAAATTTTTAAACAATTAATAACTTATTATGAGTAGTTGAATTCAGACATAGGTTTGCCTTTTGAAACTAACTTTAATTCAACAAATATATATATATATTTTTTTTGGTTTCCCACCCGGTGTCCGGTACCCGCATTGAAGCCCGACTATATCCGGATTCGCGCCGCGTAGGACCCCTTTCGGGGGGAAGGGCTCCCTACCAAGGATTTTTCCATACTCAGGGCTCGAACCCGAGACCTCTGGTTAAGGGAAGAGCAGTCCCATCCACTGCACCACATCCTTTGGTGGTAATTCAACAAATATTTCATGTTAATTAGTTGTTTGATATTCTGATATTCTCCTCTTTTCCTCTTCTGTTGCCCTCTTTTTGTTATACAGATATTGCAGTTATAATTTGTGAAAATTAAAGACTTTGCAAACAAATTTTTGGGAAAAAGATCTTGTATCCAAACTATTGATAGAATCAACAGCAAAAAATTCAATATAATTCCACAAATGTGGTATGGGTAATATAATTCCACAAATGGGATCTGGGGAAGATAGTGTGTACGCAGACTTTACCCTTACTTTGAGTGTAGAGACTATTTCCGATAGACTCCCCTCCTCCAACCAAGGAAAGATAAAAAAGATCGCAGTAGCAACAAGCAGTACAATAATAAGATAACAAGCAGAATGATCAACATGTAGTAATAGAGATCTAACAATAATAAAATACAAGGCTAACTACTAATACTATTGGTAAGCAAAAAGAATCAATTAAACTATTGAAAGAATAAATAAAAAAAATTTTAAAAAATAACCTCTATTTTAAACAAAATTAAACTAATATTTTTCTAAAACCAACCAAAAACAGTTGATTTGAAGGGAGCCTACCCTATAGGTCATGGGTTCAAACATTAGGGTAGGTTGTCTACATCACACTGTTTGAATTGTGGCCCTTTCTCGAACTTTGCGTGAACGCTGGATGCTTTGTGCACTGAGCTGCCTTTTTCTAAACAAAAAACAGCTAATTTATCATCTACTGGATCTCAGGGGAACCAATACAACAGATAAATTATCTCTACTGCCTTCTAAAAATGCTTTTAGAATAAGGTCTTTGGCCAATATTGATGGATCTGAATAGTCCTCTACTTTATTCAGAAAATCACAAACTTTTTGTGGACTTAAACTTTCAAATATTCCATCAGATGACACCACCAAAAACTCATCTTTTGAACTTAAATTTACCCAATCAGTCACTTCTGGAGTAGCTATAATTCCATATTTTTTCAAAGGAACATCACCAATAGCTCGAGTCATAGGAAAATGGCCATTGAGCAAAGGAACATCATTCATCGTCCGACTAAATTTACCTCCAGACGCTTCAATTCTAGCCCTCTCATCCGCCCTTAGCGCGTTATGATCTCTTGTCAATTCCTTAACGAGATCACCCGCCAATTCCTCGCGTTGAGAGCAAATAAATGCCTTTGAATCGCCAACGTTTGCAACTAAAACATGATTGTTATATATAAGAGCAACAACTGCAGTAGATCCTGAATAAAGTTCATGTTCGATAGCAATCTTGGAAAATTCTGCATCAATTTCCTCAATGGTTTTTACTAATGATGTTTTTAAAAATTCCATAAATTCATGACCATGGTAATTCTTAAGGTGAAACTTAAACTTTTCCAGAATTTTTTTTGAGGCCAGTTCACTAGCATATTCTCCAATATGACCATCAAATACTGCTACAACACCAATAATTACCTCTTTGTGCCCAAAAAAAGGAATTTTAAGATCAAGGTCACATGTTATTCGATCTTCTTGATATGCTCTTCTCCCTTTGTTTGAGGCAAAGTGACAATTTTTAGTTGGAATTGACTTTGTTTTTTGTGGAACAATTTTTTCTTCAGGTTTAGGTACCTTGAGGTTCATAAAAATTCCAATGAAGCAGGCAATAAAAATTCCACATATGATAATACTCATCATCTTCCAAGATCCAACTTGTTGTTTCTTGTTTGAATTGCGAACAACATCGCGACGTCGGGCCATCTCTACAAAGGAGATGAGGACAATATTGGAGATTAGTGGCGGACTCAGAATTTTGAGTTCGTAATAAAATACTAATGCACACGAAAAAGGAGAGGCAAGAACCCTAGCGGCTGTTACCTTAAATGTTCTGAATTCTCAATATTTGACTATATTAAAACTTACGTGTAAACCAATTAACGTAATACATATGTCTTAACGCATAGACTTAACCTAATTCTTATCGATTAAGGATTCTCAATGACGAGATGTATTAATAGTGAAAATTATTAGGACTTGGATAATAGTACATATACGCGTTCAAAAGAAAGAGATGTCCTTTTTTTTGGGCGTCTTTGATTTGCAAGGATTAAGTTTTTAATTAACCATGTCTTATATGTGAATACCGAGTGAAAGAGAATATGCAAAACATATTTTATAATTAGAACATAGATTTTGTATCCAAACTATTGAAAGAATGAAATAAACTATAAATAAATAGACAAAAAATAAAAATGATGCCACGAATTCCAATGTTAAATAGGCATCAGGGATTAAAGCTATAACCTAATTCCAATTCTACTTTACATCTTGTAGACTTCCAATTTCATTAAATACCATCTCCTCTTTTACGTTCTTTTCTTTCACTTAGGGGTGATGAAGAAAAACCAAAAAATTCAACCAACTGACTATATATATATATATATATATATATATATATATATATATATATATATATATATATATATATATATATNTATATATATATATATGCATTTGGCTTGATATTAAAAAAGAAAAACTTGAACCAAATAAATAAATAAATAAATTTTAGATTCTATTAATTTAAATTTTATAGAATTTTTACTTTAAGAAATAGTCTAGCCAGACATATTTCTGATCCTTGCTTCGACATAATATTTAATATGACTTAGAGAATTTATTTATATTTATGTAAATACTTGATGTAGACGTGTATGATGTCATGGGCGGCTTTCAAGCCATGTCCCATGACCTCTTGGACGCGCCCCGTGGCGTCCTAGCAAGCCTCCCAACGCCTAGCGCCACGGACGATCCCGTGGTCTTGTGCGTCAAGTGACAAGCGCGCATGTGCCTTAGTCGCCCCGCCGATATCCCTTGTCAGCGCCCAGCCGCAGGCAGATGCCAACAGCGCCGCGCGCAAACCGCGATGCCAAAAACAAGGTTGCTGACAACGGACCCGTTTCTACCTTGTAGAAAACTAAGTCTTTTTCATTGTAAATATAGAGTAGTTTTATTTCATGTACTTCCATTATGTTTCTCTAGCTTAGTAAGGTCTAGTTTTGTAACTTTGGTTTATTTTTTAAAGCACTATTAGGGGGGATCAAGCAATCAAACACTCTAGCAAGCAAACAATTCTCTTTACTGGTGTCTCTCCCCCTCGATAGCGTGTTGCTTTTCTGTAATAGCTTTCCTTAATGCAATCAAGCTTTCTTTTCATTCTCAATTCTCATTTCTGTTCTCTCAATTGCTCTTGACATTGGTTTTCCCGTACGACACCGACAATCTCATCTAGCGTACGGAAGGGACCTCAGTTGGCGGATAGTAATTACTGCATTGACATCAGTTGCTTAGACTTACGTCGCTCTTCCGAGGAATCCCAGGAAGGCATCGCGTAACAGTTGGTATCAGAGCCTAGGCTCGACATCGAACGAGGGAACACATTGCCATTACCACCATTTCTGACCATGGTGAATCATGGGGACCGCATTGCGGCCCTTGAAGAGACGGTTGACGTATTACGGCCCATTGTAGATATGGTGCATGAACTAAGAACCAGCCTAGTTCAAAGGTTGGACGATCTGGATCGCAGAATGCTCCAGGCCGAATTTGACATAGAAAACATCAGTCGCGACTCTGAAGGAGACCGGTAAACGGCAGCCACAGAGGCAGCCAAAATTTTTGGCAAATTTGAGGGCCTCCAACAGGAGCGTGCCGAGGATTTAGCCTATAGGGCACAAGAGGCAGACAGGGTGACTGCCTTGCAACAAACTATAGACAACTTGACAAGCCAGCTCAATATTGTCAATGCTGCTTTACAAGGCCTGCTTCGAGGAGGCGGAAACAAAATCGGGGGTGCTCCGCAGCAAAAAACTGAAAATTCTTGAGCCAAAGCCATACAGTGGAGCTCGGAATGCCAAAGAAGTGGAAAACTTCTTCTTCGACATCGAACAATAATTCGATGCCGTGGGGGGCCTAGAAGAAGCTAAGAAGGTAGCAACTGTTGCCATGTATCTTCAGGGTGATGTTAAACTCTGGTGGCGGGTGAAGTACGAAGCCATCAAGGCCGGTGTAAGATGCTCTCGAGACATGGGCAGAACTGAAGGCAGCCATACGCATACAATTCTAGGAGAAAGCTACGGGAGCTCCGCCAGACCAAATCAGTGTGGGATTATGTGCGGGAATTCTCCGCGCTCATGCTGAACATACGTGACATGGGGGACAAACACAAGCTCTTCATATTTCTGGAAGGGTTGAAACCTTATGCCCGTATGGAGCTATAAAGACAAAGAGCAGATATCCTACCCAAGGCGATCCAAGCAGCGGAATGCCTTGGGGACTATCAGGTGAAAGCTCGGAAGGATAGGCCTCAACCGCCTGCCCGAGCAGGATACAAAGGGGGCCAGCCTAATGGTGGCCCTAGTAGAAGTGGAGGAGATCGGAGTGCAACCAAATCTAAGGCTCCCTCCTTAGGCAGCAATAGTGCGGCGTCAAACAACAATGATCGGGGGAGAAAGCCCCCTTCAGGATGCCGTCATTGTGGCGGTCCACATTAGAATAATGAACGCCCACATGCACAGATGAACGCCCATCAAGCTTTTGATGATGGGACCGATGACGAGATGACGCGGACCAGACCGAACCAGTAGGTGCCTTCAATGTAATTGTTGGCTCTATTTCTGAGGCCTTAGCGGGAACCAGTGTTGGTATCCGTAAGAAGAAGGACTCATGTCCAATCACCAATAAATGGAAAAAGAAGGCGGATGAGAGAACTCCTCTTAAACAAGAAAGGACCTTAATGTTCGTCAAGATGAAGGTAAATGGCAAGCCCATTCTGGCGATAGTAGACACGGGTGCTTCCCACAACTACTTAGCCTCGACTCAAGTAGAGCGCCTTGGTCTAGTTGTAGGAAAGGGTAGAGGTCGTGTCAAGGCTATCAACTTACCTCCTCAGCTAGTGGGCAGAATAGCCAACGAGGTATCAGTGAAGCTTGGCCCTGACGAAGAAAAATTCAACCTACACGCGGTGATCATAGATGACTTCGAGTTGATAGTTGGGTTGGAATTCCTGAGGCAAACCAACACCATGCTCGTACCGTATGCAGACATGCTACTGATGATGGGAACAAACGGGTCCAAGCCCTGCATTATCCCGTGCATGCCTATGAAGATGGCTGCTGAGAACATCTCGGTCTTGCAGTTGAAGAAGGGGGTCAAAAGACATGAACCTACGTTCCTAGCCACGCTCTGCATTGAAGATATAGAACACTCCTCAGGTCCCGTTCCTGTACCCGTGAAGGAGCTGCTATTGGAGTTTGAAGACGTCCTGCCACAGGACATGCCAAAGCGACTCCCGCCTAGGCGCACTGTGGACCATGAGATTGAGTTGGTGCCGGGTGCGAAGCCACCCGCCCGGGTGCCTTACAGAATGTTTACAACCCGAACTCACCGAGCTTCGGAGACAATTGATGGAAATGCTAGACAGAGCGATCATCATTCTCTCCAAGTCCCTATACGGGTCCCTTGTGCTATCCAAAAGAAACATGATGGCAGCCTACGACTCTGTGTGGATTATCGGGCTCTAAACAAAATCACTGTGAAGAACAAGTACCCTATTCCGCTAATGGCAGACTTGTTCGATTGACTGGGTGATGCGATGTTGTTCACCAAGATACACCTGAAGACAGGTTATTGGCAAGTTCGAATTGCAGAGGGTGATGAACACAAGATGACCTGTGTGACAAGATATGGGTCGTACGACTTCCTGGTTATACCGTTCGGCTTGACTAATGGTCCAGCCACATTTTGCACCCCAATGAACCAAGTGTTCCAAGAGTACATTGTTGAATTCGTGGTGGTCTACTTGCATGATATTGTGGTATATAGACAAACACAAGAAGAACACCTAGACTACTTGCGGAAGGTCCTAGCCCGATTGCGGGAGCATGAACTATATGTGAAGATATCCAAGTGCTCCTTTTCTCAAAAATAGATTAACTCCCTCGGACATGTCATCGAGGAAGGGCGGATCAAAATGAACCAACAGAAGATTCAGGCTTTCACAGATTGGCCGCCGCCTAAGGATATCCACGCCTTGAGGGTGTTCCTTGGCCTCTGCAACTTCTATCAGCGATTTGTGAAAAATTACTCACTCATCACAGTGCCATTGTTAGAACTCCTCAAGAAGGTCACGCCTTGGGATTGGGGACCCAGGTGAGCAAAGGCCTTTAATGTATTGAAAGCGACTATGTCTAGTAGCCCCGTCTTGGCCCTCCCTGATTTGGCCAACCCATTCGAGGTACAAACGGATGCCTCCAACTATGCCCTTGGCAGAGTCTTGCTACACGAAGGGCATCATGTAGTGTACGAGATAGGAAGCTGAAGGATGCAGAGTGGTGCTATGCCACCCACGAGAAAGAATTATCGGTTGTCGTCCATTGCTTACGCCTTTGGAGGCGCTATCTGCTGGGAACCCTGTTCATGGTCAAGACAGACAATACAGTTATTAGCCATTTCATGAACCAACCGAAGCTGAATGGTCGACAGGCCAGGTGGAAGGAACTCCTAGCGGAATTCCAGTTCAACCTAAAGTACCGAAGTGGGAAGACCAATCATGTTGCTGATGTGCTCAGTCGGAGAGCTGACCTAGCATCGGTGTGCCTACTCGCCACCCTAAGGGGGAGCGAAGTATCCACCACCATCAAAGACCAGATACAAGATCTACTCATTAAGGATCCTGCTGCACAGTATTTGGTTGACTTAGT